ACTGGCAACAGATGCCTTATGGGTGTGATTTTGATTAAAGTGCATCTGTTTAGATTCCATAGTAAATAAACGGAGGGCTACTCCTGACCTAGGTGGCTACACGGGTTTGCAGCACGAAATAAATTAGATGTATGTACGGCACAAAAGATGGATAAGCATGGAAACATAAAATTAAGCCAGATACATAGGTAAAGGTATTTTAATCACATTAACTCAGTAACATGAGAATTTTCAAGCTCCTGGAGTTAAGACTATTGAATCCATAGTTGTATCAAATCTTAAAATATTGCCTCCATATTGCTGTTCTATCTCATGTTCTCCCTAAGATCATTTTGAATCCCTATTCCTAGATCAAAGAAACAATATTCAGAATGAGAGAGCGTGCTACGGTATGGCACTTTCTCCAGGTTACCCTCCCCTAAAAAAGGGAGAATCTCGGGGGTGAATTTGAGATGGTGAAGCTATATGAAGACACACTGCAGAAGAATAGAAAAAAGAATTATTTGTGGAGGGTGTGTCTTTATTACGAGGAAATAAGAGGTACGAAATGCTGTTTCTGCCTGTGTCAGACACAATTTGAAGCACTGGGACAGCATCTTAGGTCTTCAGAGCTGACGTTGTCCTTTCTTAAGAACCAGGGTTCCTGCTGCCTGCGCTACTCCCAGCTATGCAGCAAGAAATCCCACCTCCCTGGGATGCTGTATCTGAGCAGCGGAAGACAGCCCTTGAAGCATCAGTCCTGTGGATCTGGCTCAGCTATGAGCAAATGTTACTTGGCATTCTTCCCTCCCTTCACTGATCTCCTGTGACTTTGCAGCCACCTTGAAAATTCACTTAAACTTTTCTACCGGGAGGGACATATCTGCTGGGAAACATTCTTCACTGACCACTTCTTTATTCTAAGACAGACCGCGGTGGACAGGTGACAGCTCAAAGCCCAAATCCTAATGCTGAGCAGAGTAGTGCTCAATGCATCCCACGTGCACTCTTGAGCACATTCTATAATGTTAAGGAAGTGTTCAAATTCTATCATGCAGATGAATATGCTTAATTATGTAGCATTTCACATTGAGGTATTTATCAGTAATTAACAATAAATCAGTACAATGTTATTTTTAAGAGACTAGATTTTAAGGTTTCTAAAAGTCAGACTAAAGGTTTATAAGAAAAAAGCTAATTAAATTTCTCTTTATTAACACATGCACCATTGTGTTTGTCAGCTTTCTGTCATTATAACAAAATAACTGAGATAATTAACTCATAAAGAGAATAGTTTTCTTTTATTTACACAGTCACACACCCCCATCCACATATCCAAAATTTCTTTATTGCCAGATTCAACCAACTTGAGATTGAAAAATGTATTTTTAAGGCATGGCTGTACTGAACATGTACAAATTCTTTTTTGTTCTCTCCTAAAGAATACAATTATTTACATAGCATTTGCACTTGTATTACACATAACCAGGAAGATGTGCATAGTTTCTGTATGAATACTACATCAGTTTACATGTATAAGGGACTTGGACAAGGAGGGTCCAGATATCCACAGTGGGTCCTGGAATCAGGCCACTGCAGATACCAGGGGATGACTGTACTGTGTACGACATGAGTCTGCAGCACAATGTCTCAGTTCCACTTGGTGCCTGAAGCTCTTCCCAGCCACCCTCCTTTCCTCAGTGGCATGTGAGGAGACTCCTGGAAAGCGAGAAGGACCCTGCTGGTGGGCTGGGCAGGGAAGGGCTTTCTGAGCAGGGGACTTGAATGGAAGTGGTAAGTGGATTGGGGGCACAAGGGGCAGAAAGGGCAAAGCCTCAGGACCTGGGGCTGGAGCCAGGGTGGTTGCTACAAGGTAAACAGGTGAGAGGGCTTTGAGAGCAGGTCAGGAATTGGCAGCTTATGCTTGGTGAGATTGGTTTTAAATTAGGGGGATGACATGATCTGCTTTCTGCAGTGGTGAAGCTTAATTGTATCAACTTGATTGGCTTGAGAGCCACTGAGGGGATTCATAAAGCTCACTTTTGGGTGTGTCTCAGTGGGTCATGGAGGTGTGACATTGAGCACTACATCTGGTCCCTTCCTTCTTCCTCTCTGATACTCTTCCCCTGCTCTGCTTCTGGGCCATAGTAAACTGAGCAGCTTTGTTCCATCATGCGCTTCCACCATAATGTTCCTGCCATGGAGCCCACAGACCACGTACTGAGTCCCCTGAAACCATGAGCCAAATTGACCCTTCCTTTAAAGTTGTGGGTGTCAGGTATTGTGTCCCAGTGATTGTAAAGTTGACTAATACACTTTCTATTTGTAAACCATTATGACAACAAATGTGTGAAAAATTATCTGCAGGAAGACAGAGTTGGAGGTGTCGCAGCACATGCGTGCCCCGTGAGCCATTGGGACTTGTTCACCTCACCACCTAGCCCCTGAAACTAGTGTGACAGATGGCATGGATCACGCTCACTCACTCAGCAAGCCTCTGCCCTGGAACAGACCTGCTAAGTGATGTGGGGCTCTCGGTTTCACAGGTTCTCAGGGACCAGCACCTGTCTCCCAGCCTCTGGTTCAGTCCATGCTTGATCCGTGATATCAACCGTGAGAACCACAGAACTGTCAGCACTTGGCAAAATCCTCAGTCTAGGCAAAATCTCTCCACTGGAAATGCAGGAGCAGCCTCTAGTGAGAGGACCATGGCCCCTGGATGTACCTCATCTCTCAACTGCACTTGATCCCCACCTTTTCTAGGTGCAGAAGCTGGGGGACCACGTGAGTGCCCAGGGTCACAGGCACTGCTCACAGCACCTGCTGCTCTTTTCCAGGCTCCATTTCCATGCCTCTTATCTCCAAACACAGCAGAGCTCTCTCTCCAGCCCTCGGCCACAGAACTAAAATTGCAGGCCTAGCTGCGGGAGAAGAGCTCCCTCCCTCCACATGCATACGTGGAAGAGTTAGTGTAAAACATTACAGCACACTTTACAAACCCCATCCCCTTGTCTCCTGTGTTTTGCACAACACAAAGCTCCACAGAACCACAGGGGCTCTTCCTTCAGATCCTCAGCTCTGTGTTTATCTAATCATAATACAGCAAGGTCATCTGCAACCTATTGCCTATGTGATGCTCCCTCTCCCAGTGGGCAGCTCTGACCTCTTCCCAACCCCCCACCCCACCCCACCCTGCCCCAGAACTCTGAGGGTTCTGCTAAGAAACACACAAATACGTTAGCTCATAGCTCCAGCGAGCCAGAGATCCAAGCATGCTCCAGCAAGCCCTGTGCGGGACCTCAGCAGGCTGACAGTCAGGTGACAGTCAGGGCTGCAATCTCATTGCAGGAACAGGGCCCCTTCCAAACCCACTTTATTGCTAGTAGAATCCAGGTCCCTGTGGTTGTAGGACAGAGGCTATTTGGTCCCAGAGGCAACCTCCTGTCCCCTGCCATGTGGGCCAGCTCGTTCTGCAGCATGCAGGTCTTCAAGGCCACCTAGGGAAGGGCTGACTCTGCCACATCAAATCCCTCTCCTGAGGACCCTCTCTTTCCAAGGGTTCATCTAGTTAGGCCAGGTCCACCCAGGGGAATTACCCTTCTGATTAACTCAAAGTCAGCTGATTAGACAAGGATTTTAATTACACCTACAAAACCCCTTTAGCATTATTATATAAGTAATGTAATCACAGGAGTGAAATACCATCACACGGTTCGATTATATAGTCATCCCCAAATCCACACATGCTCAAGTCCTTTCTATAAAGCGGCATAGTATTCACATAAAACCTATGCACACCACATATACCTTAAATCATCTCTAGATGATTTGTAATACTCAAGGCAATGCAAATATTATGGAAATAGTTGTAGGGTTGCTTAAGGAATAGTGACAGGAAAAATCCCATGCATGGTCGGTACAGGCTCGATCGTTCAGGTTTTCCCTGAGTGTTTTCTCTCTCTGTTTGGCTGAGTCTCTGGATGCAGACCCGTGGATGCGAAGGGTGGGCTGTTTGCATAAGTTCTGTCCCAGCCCTGGGGGTGACCTTGAGCATGCGCACCCGGGAGAGCAACGGGCCCAGCCACACTCTGCCTACTTCAGGTGGACGGATCCCCTCACTTCTCTTTAACAATGTTAAAATCGTGCTAAAGTCTACGCAGCATGGAGCGGACCATCTGAGCCATTCTGAAGTGCACAGGTCCGCGACATCAAGGACCTTCACAGGGCCGTGCAGCCATCACCACCACCAGTCTCAGAAAGCTTTCATCACCCCGCACGGACACTCTGCCCCCAGAAAGACTAAGTCCCCTCGGCTCCCTCAGCCCCTGGCGACCTCCCACCCCAGCTGCCCAAGCATCTCTCTTCTCAAATATACGGGAGGGCAGAAGCAGAAACAAATAGAATGAAAGATTCTCCTGCCTCCCTTCTAAAGATTGCAATTGTATCAGCCTAGACCTTCTTGGACTGCCCAAGATGAAATATGCATCTGAAGGCTCGTGGAGCGAGTACCCAGTGGACGGGAGCTGTGAGTTCTGCCTGTTCTCTCTGCTGAGCCGAATGGAGAGAGAGAGCAGGGTCAGGTAGCAGAAGTAGGACACACTGCTTGATCCTCCTCACCCCCTCAAACACAGCATGCAGAGAAAATAAAACTCCTGCTGGCCATGTTCCTGTGTGCCTGGCATCCCAGCACTCTTGAGAGGCTGAGGCAGGAGGACTCAAGCCCATCCTGGGCAACTTAGTGACTTAGCAAGACCCTGTCTCAAAATAAAAAATTTAAAAGGGGCTGGGGATGTAACTCAGTGCAAAGGCCCTGGGTTCAGTCCCCAGTACCACAAAAAAAATCCCTTCTCACAAAGTCAGCCACATGGTACATTTTCTTTGGCTTAGGAAAGGAACTGAATCCAGACTAAATGTGGAACTTCATGCCTGTTTCATATCTCAATTTCCAACTAATGGGGTCTGAAATGTCTACAGTTTTTTCTAATCACAGGTTCCTTGTGTACACAGAAGTCACATACCAGAAGAATCAGGGTTTGCTTTAATATTATGAGAGTTGAAATCCAAAACATCTCAATAAAGGATAAATTTGCAGTTTTTCTTGGAAACTTCTCTACTCGCGAACCTGTTGTTTCTTAATAGAGTAATAACACGACTGGCTTCTAACTGAAGGTGTGGGCTTTGGGTGAAGAGGTGGTTCTTACATTCTGGGGAAATGGAGAAGTCAGTCCACGGCATAAGGAGCTTGCTTGGTTCCTTTATCTGGGCCTGCGCGGATGGGGCTGTGCTTCTGTGCACTGCAGATTTCCAGTTTCGTTGGCGCAGCATAATTATTTCCAGACAAGACGCTGGCTCAGATGTCTGCCTCTTTCCTCCTGTGGCTTTGGAGTTTTGAAAGCAGCAGAGCCAGAGCTTTCCCAGCCCTGCCTCTGTGCATCCTGGTAAAGTGGCAAAGAGACATCCTAACTGGAAAAGAAGGCATGGGTTGAAGCTATGATAGTGTTTCCAGAATAAAATAACTTGCTGTTCCAAGCCCAAACCCACACGCACGGGAGCTGTAATTTTCTCTGTGGTCGGCAACTATCTCCTCTCCTACAAATAGAATAAGGAGCAATGGTGCCAGTGGGCTCTGCTTGTGAGCGTCCCATGTCCCGGGAATCTGCACCACGGCCACGCAGGGTGCACCCTCGTCACAAGACCTACAGGGGGTGCGCTGTGAGCAGAGCACAAGTCTCACAAGGTTGAAGGACCCTGGCCACGCACCTCCTCGTCCCGGCCCTCCAGACCAAGAAACTCCCGCACTTCCCAGGCTTGATGGGAGCCATAGTACCAATGAGTGACCACAGAAATGTGTTGAGATGTAAAATACTTGGATTTGCATAGGTTTGCCTCTGGGATTTTAAATACCAAAATGAGTACAAACTCAAGAAACTTCTTGCTTTCAAAGAAAAAGAAAGACTGAGGTTTATTTATATTGCCACATCGTTACTTTGCATGTACTTTAAGGAGAAAGAGAGCACTAATACAAATAGGGAGTCATAACCACGCGTCCTTAAAGGATTGTTTACAACTCCTTTACCTCCTCCAGAGTGAAAGAAATTCCAGTTCCATGATGTATGTCACTGTGTTCACCAGGTCTTTCTGGGGATGCAGCTACTCAAATGCGCCATGTTGTGTTTGTGCAGTTTCCTCCTGTGGATCCCTAAGGCAAATAAGAAGAACAGGCCGTGGCCATACTCAGCGGGCCCTGCAGTTCTGACACTGGCTGCCCCCACCTTTTCTAGCTCTGAGCCTCATTTTATGCTCACGTTCCCATTTTGCTCCCACACCCTCTGTTTCAAAAACCACCCAAGCCTCCATGTTATTGGGTGCAGAAGGGCCCAAGCCACTGCTTACAGCCCACTTTCATGTCTTTTCATTTTTCCTTCTGAGGGTCTTCTCCTCCTTAAAGGGCCAAGCAGGCGGTCTCAAAGAAATCCACCCTCAGCCTCCTTCAACACCTCCACTATGCAAAATAATGACTCCAATCCCACTGGCCAAGACCATAGTGCCCAATAGAGCAGGGTTCAAAATCACCTGGGTGTCCAGTATCCCTGCTTTCTTACCCGGCCTGAGAAAACCGTTTCATCACACATCTGTCTATTCGCACTCTCCCACTAGAACACAAGTTCCATGAAGGCAGAGGGTTTGTCGTGCTATTTGCTGCTGCGTTCCTAACATGTACAACACTGCCTGACACCCAGAAATAGCAAAAGGATGGGAGGGAAAGAGTAGACCAGACCTCACTTGACAGAGGCTTTAATCCCAGTGCTGAGACTGTTTAATTGGTGGCCTTGTACAAATCCTGACCTTGAATCTTCATTTTCTCTACTCAAAATAGGCATAACCAAGTTCTTGCTATTTCTCAGGACTCCTGTCCAGATTAATTGAGATGTAAGTGTACATTTACCATGAGGCACTGCAGAAACATAGCAGATTACTGTCTTCTGTGGGTGACATTTGCAAAGAAGGCATGCTTGCTCATTGCTTTAAATGTTTTAGGATTGGGAATCGACTTCCTGGTGTCCTTTGCATGAAAGGAAAATGCCACATCAACAATGACAAACCTCCAGGGCCTAAAGTGTTCATCCCTGCGGCAGGACAGGAGGAAAGGAAAAGGCCGGCCTGCTGTGAATGTTCTCAAAGCTAGTGGGAAGTGGGGTTGACCGGGAGCTTCTGGAGACCTATCACTGAGACAAGATAAATACCACTGGAATTTCTCTGGTTGTCTTAGAAAAGGCCTGGGCAGCTTTCTTGGGGGAGAGGGAAAGGCTTGAAAGATTGTGCTGAAGCAAACTGAGGAAATGTATTTTTTCTGATAATAGACCAATTCCATAAATAAATGCACCGTTTGAGTAGATGGGGGACTACAAAGCTCTCAAAAGTCAGACAAGGATTTTCCTTCTGTTTCATACGAGGTTGCTTGCCAACAACTTTTTAAACTCGTCTCACGAAGTTCAGGGACCAAAGATCTTTCTTTTGCAAATTGCCACTCTTAAGCACAAAAAAATCCAGGCATCTTTTCCCTGACCAGGTTAGTGTGACCAGTGACCCTTCCAGCAATGCAGAATGTTGACAACAGCCCGGCTAGCCAAAGCACATGTCCAACAGAGCAGGTTACTCAATCCAGTCACCTGTCACAGCTCCAAAAGCCTGGGCCCACACTAACTCAGGGCTGGAGGGTTGTATGGTACCCTCTAAGGGTTCACCAGCCTTCAGTATCAACCATGGCTACCCTCGCCATGTGCCGGGTCTCCAGGGAAGTAAAACATGCAAGTTTCTGATGCAGGAAATGGACGTCAACATCCTAATCTTTCTGTAGCAATTTAAAAATGACAAATTTTCCATTGGCAAGAACTAAGACCAAGGGTTGAGCGCCACCTAGTGGAGAGGTTCCCGGGCACTCGTGGTAGGGTGCGCAGCCCAGCTGTCCTTCAGAGCATGACGGAACTCGCCCTGACCCAGTTTCAACTCAAATGCATTGAGAATATGTATTTCACAATATTCTTTCAGCCTTTTGAGAAGCAACACTTTCAAACTAATAGTCCTAAGCTCCCTTACAAGGAGATTGGGTTCTATCAGAAGCTCTCAGCCCCGTGTATCCGCTCCCCAGGGAGGTGGGCATTGTGACATCTGGTCCTCTTGTGGAAGCCCTCAGTTTACGAGGATTCCCTGTTGGGGGGGAATCACCCTCCACCCACACACTTCAGTCCATACTATTTGGTTCCATGCAAGAAACATCTAGCACGTGCATGTTATTTTGCCTGTAGTTAGGTACTGAAGAGACTGAGATGAACAAGAATGGCCTTCGGCTTTGAGATCCTGTCTAGCAAGAAGTCAGGAAAACACACATCCAGTGGCAAGTGCTATGAGCATGTTCCAGGAGCAAGGACTGAAGAGTTGGAGGAGAAAGAAAAGAAGGTCTGGGGTTCCACCAAGCAGCCATGTCCCCAGAGTCCCTGGTGCCCAATGGCCAGCTCACTGCAGTTCCCCCGGCAGATTCCTTGGAGTTCCATCTGGAACCACAGCAGTGGCCACACTGACACACCCCGTCCCCCAGGGCCCTCTGCCCTCCTTGGCTAGGCTGGCCTGGGTGTGGACACACTGCTTTTGCTCTTAGTGCATCTGAGTCAAGGTTGGAATTTTCCAACAGACGTGTTTACTAGGCAACTAAAGGGAAAAACAAAAGCAACAACTGAGACACAGGGGTGTAAGGACCAGCTTTGGGGCAAAAGCGCCTTGCCCTAGTGTGACAAATTGCAGCACAGGCTGGCTTGGCTGGGGTAGCAGGCTCGGCTCCCTGGCTTCTCCACCTCGAGCGTATGTCCAGGGCCATGAGGCCAAGCTGCTGATGAGCCCGGTTGAGGTATTTTAGGCCCCACATGGCTCCTGGGTCTGTGGAGAGCTATGGTACATTCCGCAGCTTCCTGCACTCTGCTCAGGGTTGGGCTCCTGGTCTCCATGTCCACAGCTTGTACTGCATCCCAGCAACCTGGCTTTGAAAATGGAAACTCTTACAATTGCAGTTGGTTTTGTTGCTCTTGTTGTTTTTAGGATTAAGGGACTGTTGAGTTGCTGCTGAACTTGACAGCGATTTATTTTGATGATGCTGGTGTAGAACCTGTTTTCTAAGCTACAACATTTGTAAATCTCCTCCTAAGGGGAGAAAAAGTTAAACTGCCTCCCTTTTATATGAAGTCAATGGGGTCCCATAAATGTAACCTGGGCCAACTTGGAATACAGAGAAGTAACACTGAATTCTGGAAGTCAGCCTTGAGATTGTAGCCACATAGGAGAAATGTAGGACAACATCTGGGAGTAAAATGGTATTCAATTTGATGAGTAATCATCCAGCTGTAAGCAGAGGTCCACAGCCTGGTCTTGGACAAAAGGCCTGAGTCTAAATTCCCACTCTTCTATTTTCTAGCTGTGACTTACTAATGCAAGGCACTTCACCAGGCCAACTATCTGAATATACTTGGACAGCTATGATAAAGTACCATGGACCGGGTGGTGTATCAACTACAGACATTTATTTCTCGTACCTCTGAGAATAGGAGCCCAAGATCAAGGTATGTGCCTTAGTCATTTTCTCAGTGTTGGGATAAAATACCCAACATGCACAGCGTAAAGGAGGAGATTTGATTTGGTCTTATGGTTTCAGAGGTTTTAGTCCATGGTCAGCTAGCTACAAAGCAGAACCATCAAGGTGGAAGGGCATGGGTGGAGGAGAGCTGCTCTTCTCATGGCAGCCATGAAGCAGAGAGGGAAGACAGGGGCAGGGAGGAAGATTACACCCTTCTAGGCCACCACCCCAGGGACTCACCTCTTCCAGCCAGATCCCACCTCTTAACAGCACATTCAGCTCTGAACTCTTCTGTAGATGAATCCACTGATGAGCCTAGTGCTCTCCTGATCCAGTCACCTTCCAAAAGCCCCACCTCTAAACACGTGAGCTTTTTGGGACATTCCAGATCTAAACCATAGCAGGGTGCCAGCATGGTGAAGACCCTCATCTGGGCTGCAGAACTCTGGCTTCTCATTGTATGCTCACATGGTTGAAAGAGGGCGAGAGGTCTTTGGGCCTCATACGGGCACGAATTCCAATCGGGAGGGGTGGGGCCACCCTCATGACCTAATCACCTCTCCAAGGCCACAGCTCTGAAGGCTGTCAGCTTGGCAGTCAAGAATACAGTTTATAGACTTTGGAAGGCTATAACCATGCAGCCCATCACTCTGAGCCTTGGTATCCTGTCTGTGACACGGCAGAGGCCATACTGACTGATATAAATAAAGAGCTCACTGCAATGCTTGGGTTGCAGCAGGTTCTCAACACGTGGCAATAAATTATGGCTGCTGGTGTTTCCTAGCGCCTAGTACCCTCAAGCCCCTTGTCAGGCTGCATTTATGTCTCAGGACAATCCTGAGAGACAGGCGCTCTGTACTTCACCCTCCAAAAAGGTGAGGGTTTGGAAAAACCAAGATTTGCTATATTTCTAAGTGGTAGAGCCAGACCTCAAACCCTTGTCTGTGGATTGTCAAAGTCTTTTTTAAACAACTTTTTTTTTTTTTAAGGCAAAGTACAAGCAGGGAAAAGAATGCTAGACCATAGCTGCGCAATTCAGTGAGTCACAGCAAAGTACACACACCTGAGTCGGCAGCAGGTCAAGGGGCAGAGCGTGGCTGGCTCAGAACCCGCTGGCGCCCCATGCAGCCGTCACCATCAATGACATCTGGGGGTCAGGGGAGCCCAAAACCTATAGCTCCACCTCCTGGATCTACGACGCTCTCGTAGCTCCATGGTATCTTACGAGGGTACAATTTTTAACTATTTTTGTCCAGCTTTTCCGGGAGACTTTGTCACATTACCTCGGCTGCCCTTACTGGAAGCCTAGAGCCCAGGCCACTGTCCTACAGGCCACGATCACACAGGAGGCTCCTGCCTGAGCCACTGCTAAGAGCCAACTGTGGGCAGAGAGCAGACGAGCGAGCAGGCCTGGACTACCTGTGCCAGCCCATCTACGCCTCTGCCCATCGCCCTGCATGGTAAAAGGCTGTTGTGATGCACGAGTCAGTATACTCCCCTGCAGGACTGTCACATGCAGCTGATCTGTGGTTTGGATTCCTGAATCCTGCCCTGTGCAGTGAGGGGCTGGGGTAAGGGGTGAATGGGAGCATGTGCTAAAATTCCAGCTAGGGAGACACAGGTGAAAAAGCCAGAGAGACTCTTCCCAGCCAAAGAAAGTACTTTCTTTTCTCCTGTAGCCTTTCCACTTTTTCTGCCTGGCATGCAGCTGTGATGTGTGACTGTAAGGTAAAAAGTATGGAGAGGAAATGCAGTCAGCTAAGGATAGGGCAGGAAAGTACAAAGTGGGACTCAGTCCCTGCTCTGAGGAGCTGCTGCCACAGCTCTGGCCTGCTCAGCCCAAGACTTCTTTGGTGAGACAGCCTGGGTTAGTCTTGGGGAGCGCGTCTGTCACTCACAGTCATGTGTGTTCCCACGCAATAACCAAGAGGTGACATCTTCTGTCTTGGCTTGTCTCACTTCTTCTGTGGGCAGTAAAATGAGAGACACTGAGGGAAGGACCAGCTGCCAACCCCCTTCTGTCAGCGTCTTCGCAAATCACTGTGAGTGGCTCCTACAGCCCTGGTGGAGACGGAGACAAACCAACTAGAACACTTGGTGGCTGCAGCATAGCTCAGAGCTTGGGCATCACAGGCAATGTTCAAATGTCCACTGTGGAGGCAGGGCTGTAAGCAGTGCATAGCTCCTAAGTCACTTAACCCTCATAACTTCCCGAACAGGTGTTCCCACTAGTCTCAGCTTGGAGATGTTTAAAACTCAGTTTGATCAATCTGTCTAAAGTCACACCACTGGCCAGTGGTGAAGCCAAGCTCAGGGCCTTCCTGGGGATCCCAGAGGCTGGTCTCTCAATCATAACGTTCCTTGCCAACCAGAGTCAAATAATTGTTTCCAACCACACAAGGGAACTCTCAAAGTCAGTGAGATCCTCAGGTGTCATTTTCAAGCAACAGGATCCCAGGCCCAGAGATCTGACCACCAGTGGTTTCCTTGCCCAGGGAGGAGCCAGCCAGAGGCTCTCTGATAAAGGTAGGACCCTGCTGCCCTTCCCAGTGGGCTGTGTAAGTCGGGCGCAGGTGAAATGAGATATTTACCAGATTGTAGGGCCCACCCTCACGTGGGTTTTTTATCAAACTTTTGTCGGCAAGTCTTAAAATCTGTCTTGTACAAACTTGCTTACATCACTTATTTTTTTTTTTTTTGTACCGGGGATCGAACTCAGATCCTTGCACTTGCGCAGCAGGTGGCGAAACCACTGAGCTAAATCCCCGGCCTTACATCACTTATTTTTAAGCAAAGAAACCACTGTTGGGAGGCTGAGATGTATGTTTTCTCTTCTTAGCGGCTTCAGGCTTTATTCCACAGTCTACACGAAGGCCAGGACCCTAGGTTTGATTGTTTTCTCTCTAGACCCTGTAAGAGTTTTATTTATGGTTGCAAACTATAGTGCCTATACACTGGACTTTCATACATTCTTTTTTTCATATTTTATCTAAAAGGAAAATAATGACATCGAATGCTTCCTGTGGCTGTTAGGCAGATGTCAGCGTGATTGGTTTGGGGACTCTCCTGGGGAATTGCTGGAGTGCACTTGTGGCCTGGGTGGGTCATGGAGATGTGGCTTTAGGGTCTATATTTGGTCCCTGAGCCCTTCCTTTCTGGCACTGTTCCCCTGCTTTCCTTCCAGTCCACCATGAATTAAATAGCTTTACTCTGCCATACCCTACCACCATGAGGTCTGCCTTGGAGCCAGCTGTCCATGAACTGAATCCTCTTAAAACATGAGCCAAAGTAAATCTGTCCTCCTTTAAGTTGTGGGTGTTGGATATTGTGTCCAGTAATGTGAAAGCTGAGTCATATACTTCCCATTTGATAAAACATTTTTAGCAGTGACTATAATACCAGTTATATAATTTTAGTTATAGCTGTAGCATCTTCTGTCACCATTTTCACCCAACTTAGGAGATAAGAGCAAGTTTTACAGAGCAAGTTTTACGTGAAAAAGATACAAACTCATTCTTACTTTGCCCTAAAAGCCCCAGATGGAACTGAAGAGTGATCAAATTGTTTCAGTCAGCTGTGGTTCCCTCCTTCCTTTTTGAAAAGAACTAAATACGCCTGCTTAGTTAGGTCCATTGTTTTGTAAAATCCTATCTATTTTCTCTGACTATCATTGACGTGAACTGTGAATGCAGCATGCTGCCTGCTGAGTTGGAAATACACCCACTAAGCCAACCAGTCCTTCATTTCTGATCTATTATTCTCCATTATTGCTGCAAAGCTTCTGATTGCATTCCTATTAATTGTTCTAATTTGCCCCTCATTATGCTGATTTGCCATTCCTCATTGGGCCTCTGCTCAGTTGGCTTCCAGTGGTTAGTGACTTATGGTTAGATGCAGCTTCTTTTAGGCTGGAGACACTAGAGAACACAGAAACTCCTCATCGCTTCTACCTCTACAGGGGACACATAAATGACTCATCTGTCTACCTCCCGGTGTGGCCCACAGTTAGGTCTCTTTGCTCATAATGCATCGCTCAGCACTCACACAACTGTTATTCAGCACCTGCTGGTGGCCAGGCCTGTGCCAGGTGCTGGGCTAACAGACCTGCAGGGGCTCACATCCTGATGAGAAGGGCTCAGGAGCTTGGTAGCACGTCCTTGCAGGTGCCTGTATCAGAAAGAGAATACATTCAGTTGTATGTAACAGAACCCCACTTTCAATGGATCAAAGAGCAGGGGGAATTGATCATCTTGTGCAACAGGAAGTCAAGAGCTATGGGCTCTGCAGAGCTCACTAATGCAAGAGCTGAAGAGGGTCACCAAGGACTCAGATCATTTTCATCTGCTTGGCCCTCTGTCCTTGTCTTATAAGATAGCTGCAGCAAGGGCAACATCCAGACACATGTATCCACAGGGTAGAGAGGGCCACCTTTTCCTGCGGCTCCTGTTAAGAGTGAAGGAACCTTTCCTGGAAACATCCCACCAGTCTGTCCCTTGGATCTGATTGGACAGAATGCATTACATGCTCAAGTTTCAACCAATCACTGGATGTACGTAAGGCCACCACGCTGGCTCAGACCCATGAAGACCCTGGGGTGGTGGAGGTGGCAGTTTTCCCTTAGCAGTTGGCTGCACAGGGGAAGTGGAAAATCTAAACAAAATCATGGCTCGTAGATATCCGACTGGAGCCCCAAATACAGAATCTCTATTGTTCTAACTAAAAACACCATGAAATTAACATCACACTTAAATAAAACTCATGTAAGTTTAAAATCCCCAAAAAGTGGTGCCCAGTGCCAAATGGTCATCTGTCAATGTCTACATCCATTCACGAGGTTTTATGGAAAGCAGGTGGGAACAAGAGCAGAAGTGGCAGCCGCGGAAGAATGGCAGGGTGGAAAGGCACTGTGGGTGACTCTCTGAGGTAAAACTAAGAAGGGCTCTGTGTCCTTGAACACACCGCTCTTCCCACGTGCCACCTGCACTCCCATGTACTGGCTCATCTGTGCTTGGAAAGATGCCCAGCCACGAGTGTCTGGGCCGCAGAGAAGTGACCGTGCTCCTGTCTGCTTTCTCCCACCAGTAACATCACGTCCCCAGCCCAGATCACGGGGCCTTCAGCCCGACTCCCTGGGAAGGGTCTTGGCTCAGCGTGTGGCTGTAGGAGACCACATGTGCAGCCTGGGAGGGTGACTTCTGCTCACAGTGGCTCAGGAGTCACCTCAGCCATAGGGGAAGCCAAGCAGCAGTCCCCAAGCTAAGCCTGCAGTCAGTGACGTCTCACTTTGTCCCTG